TACATCAGAAATGTGAAGTGCGAAATTGGATTCTTGACAGAAGGCTTAACATGCTTTTATAAGCATTTTTAAATTACATTAAGGCTTGGTGATGCTGGTAAGTTGTAAAACATTGAGCTTATTGAAAATAATGCTAAAATAACATGCTAGAATTAACAAATAAGATCAGTAAATTTAGATTAACATATAAGAGTTTCGCAATATGCTTAACTATAGATCTAGTACTAAGACAATTAATTTAACTTTAAATAAATAAAAATGTATTTATTCTTGCTTATGTAAAGGTGATAAATTAGTGATAATAATAATTTCGTTGCTCTTTGAGAATGTTTTAGTTTGTACTAAAAGGCAACTACATTTCTCTTAATAATATTGTACCCATAACTAAAACAATTATTCTTGTTAAGCTAGTAGATGATGTTATTTAAAATAAGACCACTCAAGATTTGAATTTTCCACATAGTCTCTTCCAATAATATCCTATTTAAGTAAAATAATGTACCTCATTAAATCTCCTACATCAGCTAAAATAAAAAATGCATTGTCGAAAATATTTTGAGGTTCATCCAAAACTTCAACTGATATTTATCCTTATTACTTGAGAAGGTATAGATAAAATTTACCAATATCAAAATATTGGAATTTAAACTTGCTGTGCAAGTTCGTCAACTATTTTGACTGATTTTTTTATATTTTTAAGTGAAGTAAAACAAAAATAGGATGTATGGAATGGAGAGAGAAAAAGGGGAAGTGATTTTAAAAAATAATATTATATGCATTATATAATGATTAATAATAATAAATTTTCATTGTTTTTATGATTCAATTTAGTTCTGTAAAATGCTTCCTCTATATTTACATAATGACATCAAGTCTATGCCAGATTGATTAATAAATTCTCCTTTCAAAATTAAAGCACCTTAAGACTGAAATATTACCTATTGTGACAAGGTAATTAAAGGAGAAATTACTAAATAAAGAAAAATGAATATCAAATTCTTAAAGATTTATGTTTTTTAAAATAGGAGCATAAAATTATGCTAAAATGTCTGTATAACGATTATTTGATGATAAAATTTATTATCCTGTTTTAACAATGGGCTTCATAGTCTCCTCCTCGACATTGCATCTAATGTAAAGTAAACTATAATTAGGACATTTTTGATTGCAAGGATCCTTATTTCATCAGTGATGTTAAGTAAAACCTGCTTGAGCGTGGGTAAAATGAGATGCAGCTTTTTACATCTTTCAGTAAGACTTTGTACAAGGATTAATGTGAAATTAGGCCTTGAAGATTACGAATCAAATATTATCAGGTAATATGTTTAGTGATGTCTCTGAACTAAATTTATAAGCAGCAAGAATTTTGGAAGTGAGCACAAATTTCCATAAAGAAGAATGGTGTCAATTAATTACAAAATTATTTTTTTTTAGTATTATTTACAGACAAGTTAACTAAATAAATTGGTTAACAGCTACTTGGAAATATAATCATTGTAAGTTATTATCAAAGCCTATGCACTTTTACAATAAAAGCTGTAATAGGAGAGTTTATGTGCATGTATTCATCGTTTTGTATCAGAAAATGATAGAATACAAATCTTGTGAGATACAAATGGCGTCATAGTACTAGTAATTTCAAAAATTCAATAATTTGCTAATCAAAAGAAAGGTTTTGAATTGCAAATATTTTAATTAAATTAGCAAATTTTTCCTCAGAGTTTAAACGTTTATTATTTTATAAAGAATTCAAGACATTTTGTAATTTTCTCCTTTTTCAGCATCATAATTAGCTCATTAATGTAGAATCGATCAATGATCTTCGTTTAAGTTAATATCTCAAACAGGTTTTCCCTATCTTTTCTTAACTAACTTTATTTCCTTTATTGATTTAATATGTTCTTATGAATTAGCTGTCTACTCATTATTTTCTTCAACTCTTTCATTTCTTTCTTCAAAATTTGAAATTTTTCTAATTATTTTTTCTTCTAAAATTTGTTCCAAAGAAACATTAAATAAATCATTCTTCACAATTTTAGATCAAACAACATTACTCAAAATATATTTTAGCATTTTTCATGCTTCACGAGTTTTGTTTCTTGAACCATACTCTCATTTGTCCATTCTTTTTTTGTAGTTTTAATTATCTTAATCATCTTTCTTCTCATAGTTTAATTTCTTACCTCCAAATTTTAAATTTGATTGATTTACTATTTGAGTATATTTAATTTGGATTCAGATTTCATGCTCCCTTTTTTATAATTTTTTCGAAAAAAACTCTAATTAAATTAAGTTGTGCTAACATTTATGGTAAAATGAAACAATTATCTCCATCATAAAGGAGTGCCTATCATATAAAATATATCAATGTTCTAAATTACTTATAAAGACCTATATTCTCCCCATAATTCAAAAATTCCTATTTAAGAGAAACCATTTGATTTGAAAAGATATCTTTTCAATCTATATTTTAATTGATGTTGACTTCATGTTTGTAATTCTTGATAAAAGATTTACCAAAATATGCTTTGTGTTCGGTGTTATAAAAATAGAAAAAGTAATAATGATGAATATTGTATTATTTGTAATGCATTTTGTAAGAATAATCAATGTTATTGTTTTTGAAATTGGGTTTAGCTTTCTAAAATGCAACTTCCTTTAGATTTCAATAATAATTTTAGATCTTACCCTTAATCATTTACAAATTCTCCTTTCAAAATTAAGGCTCCTTTTGCTTCCAAAATTGGATTTTAACAAATTCTCAGTATTGTATGATCGATCTCATCTAAAAAATGATATAAATAAATACCATTTTTTAAAATAGATGTAGTTTAAATTGGCCATTTAAACTAAGAAAGAAGGTCTTTGTAAAAATTATCTTGAGGTAGAATTTCCTTTGCTGTTTTAACATTCCATAAACGGATGGAGTTATCTGAACTACGAGATGCTAACGTAATACCATCAGGAAAGAAATAAACTAAATTAATATGACCATCTAATTTGACTTCTTATTATTTTGTATTAACATCAAATAAACGGATAGACTTATCTGAACTACCAGAAGCTAATGTAGTACCATCAGGAGAGAAACAGATCGACCATACAGTTGCATCATGTACTGTTAATTCTAACTTTTATTATCCTGTCTTAACATCCCATAAACGGATAGAGTTGTTACCTCCACTACTAGATGCTAATGTAATACCATCAGGAGAAAAACAAACTGACCAAACATCGCATCATGTGCTTCTAATTTTAGCTTTTAATATCCTGTTATAACATTCCATAAACGGATAGAGTTATCTGAACTACCAGATGCTAATGTAGTACCATCAGGAGAGAAGCAAACTGACATGACATAATGTGAATGACCATCTAATTTGGCTTTTTATTATTCTGTCTTAATATCCCATAAACGGATAGATTTATCTGAACTACCAGATGCCAATGTAATACCATCGGGAGAAAAACAGATTGATCTAACATAATGTGAATGACCATCTAATTTGGCTTTTTATTATCCAGTCTAAACATCCCATAAACGGATCGAGTTATCTGAACTACCAGAAGCTAATGTAGTACCATCAGGAGAGAAACAGACCGACCATACAGTTGCATCATGTCCTTTTAATTCTAGCTTTTATTAACCTGTCTTAACATCCCATAAACGGATTGACTCATCCTCACTACCAGATGCTAATGTAGTGCCATCAGGAGAGAAATAAACTGACATAACATAATGTGAATGACCATTTAATTTTGCTTATTATTATCCTGTCTTAAGATCCCATAATCCGATAGAGTGATCATAACTACCAGATGCTAATGTATAACCATCAGGAGAGAAACAGACTGAACTAACATAATTTGAATGACCATCTAATTTACTTAACCCATGTATTTAAACATTCCTCCATTTGCAATCGAACAATGAAGCTTAATTCAAATTCATTCCACTAATATCTACATTGTCAAATTCTGATCCATTAAAATTGCATCTTACAAAATTTCCACCAACTAAAGAGGTATTTTAATCCTGATATTCTCAAAACTTTATTCCCTCAAATTCACCTTCAATTCGACTAATAAATTCAAAGAATTAGATCCACATTTGATAAATCTCTAATCAATCGCTGTTAGTTGAACTAGGAATTTCAAAAAATTTCTGATGTGCTTATCTTAATCTATTTTTTTAATCAAGTCCTTTCTTATTTATTCATAATTAAATGCTGAATAATTCTATTTATTAAAGTCTATTTCACTTATATTTTTTATTAGACAAATAATAAAATTATATCCAGGTTAATATTTATTCCTTTTACTTGAAAGATATTAAAAGCAATCTGTCACTTTCTCCTTCTTTAATAATTCTATTATTTCATTGAGAAATAATTCATCATATTTTTTTGTCTAAGCCAGTATTTCATATAAATCTTCCTTTCTTTCATATACCGAAATTAAGTCTTAAGTTATATTTTAAATTGGGATAATTCTAAAGTATGATTTAAAATGGTTACATTTTTCTTTTTAATTTCTCAACAAAGGAGTTGAGGTCTTATTCAAATTAATGCTATTCTTCCTGTAATTTTATTAAATACGATTTTTTTTCATCTTTCCAATCATCTAAAATTTTCCCTTCTAAAATAGATACTATTTGCTCTAAATCAGAGAAGGAGGTTTCGGCTAGATTAGTATTTTCGTTGATAAGATTAGAATATGATTTATTTTTCTTTTCAATCAAATTATATATGTGTTTGAATGATTCAGATAATTGTTCCCATATTTTTTTCATCATACTTTAGGTTTGAGAGAACATCAACTTAAAGTTATTTTTCTATTTTGTTATTTCAGATGTCTCATCTAAATTATATTCTCGTAATTTCTTCTTAACCATTTCCTGAAATATTTTAATCGGAACTGCATGTTTGACATCCACCCCATGATTAAATTGGCATTCAACACATAATTTCCTTTAACATTAACACTTGTGAGGAGCTATACATATCATTGATACTTAATTGTCAGTATGATAAGTGCAATTCATTTACTTATTAATAATAATACTGAATTTCTCTTACTTATTTCAAGGTTTATACTATAAACTAAAAAGGTATCTTGCGTTTATTTGTTAAGAAGAAGCAATTTTTATAAACATTTGGAGTTGATTTACATTATAATAGTGACTACTTACATTAACTTCCTCAGATTGATTCTTGATGGATATCGAAAAAAAAATATTCAAAACACCTCCCTAAACTAATTTTTTATTACTATAAAAAAAAATAATGTAAGTGAGACGAATAATCCTTCTGTGTATGCCCAATTGCTTTGTTTGATTTGTTCTGCCTGCTGCTAGGCGATGGCCAAAACTTCACCTCCGTCGAGCCGTCGTGGTGCAAGGGGTTTTGGATAATATATATATTCTATTAATAATAAAATTGCAAATGGTTTTGTATGCTATAAATATTCTATATATAATACAATTAGCA